AAACCGTCTTTGAGAACACAGACGGAGAGATTAGTGTGGTCGTGGCCGTCAGAGGTGAAATGAGAAACAATGGGCTTGGAGAGATCTTTAATCTTCACAGCCCTGACATGCTCTCTGAAGCGGTCTCCGAGTCTCCTTCCTGTTTCACCAATGTAGATGGCTGGGCATTATTTTATTAAGACACTTACATTAATATTGGTATCACAACATATTATTTTCTTATATTGTAAGAAAGAGAACATATTTGTAAAATAAAGGGTAAAATATCAGTTTGATTTTGTTTTCATTTTAAATGAAGGATGGTTATTAGTACAGCATATTTCTGTTTTCTAAAATGAGAATAGGAGTAATTAATATACTTAAATTATCATAAATACTCATTCATTAAAAGCAAGCTCATTTCTCTCATTAGTAAGGAAAAGCAGATATTATTCAAGAGCAATTCACAACTCACAATTTGGTTAATGAAGAACAATCCATGATTTAGTATGTAGCGTAATCTGACAAAATTTTGAACATTTCCTTGCTTCATTCAGAATCTTAACATGAATAATTCATGAGCTAGACTGCTGTACATGTAGGTAATGGTTTTATGGTAATTTGTGAACTCTTCCAATTCCATTCCTGACAGAATGCAACTCAATTTCACACCATTTTGGATGTGTTAACTAATGGTATTACCATACCAACTGTAGACTAGCAGGCTACCCTGCCCTCTGAGCAAATGTTTATACCATATCAACTCAAGTTAAATAGATCCAAGAGTGTTTACATAAAAGAAATCTTCATTCATGTTATAATTACAGTATGCAGATAAAAATAATACATTAGATTGTTAATTGATTATTATTAAACATGATTTTAATCCATGAAAATAAATTTGATTCTGTTACTGCTCATGTAATCCTTCAGTATTTCAGTCAAATCCTAAAGTGAAATACTTAACTTTACTGGGGTAATTCACCTGGCTGAGAATGACAACCTATTTGTGGCAGCTAGAACACCTTTCTCCCTTTATGAAGGATTAGTCAGGAAGCAAGGGTGAAGATGGAGTGGAGGGAGAGATGTGAAAATAAAATGCAGTGTGGGTGAGATTAGGTTTTGACCTTTTTTAACTCCATTTGACTGCTGGCAATTTACGTAACACTGAAGTTGATCATTTTTATGGATTATTTTTGAATGTGACTAAGTGTGATCAAATGGACATCAAAGTTTTTAGACTTAGTCCAACCTGTATTTTAGACTAAGAGAAACATTTATTGTTTAATTTCCACAGACCGACCCTTTGAGCATAAAATTCTAGACACAATGTATTTGATCAACAAAAGCTTCAAAACACTTGTGTTTACTATTTGATAAATAGAACATTTGTCTGATACCACAGGCTAAATACTGTAAAAAAGAATTTGAGTGACTGTAAAATTGATCTTTCTTGGTTTCTCCCTTAGAGAAAATGAATGTCAAAGTACAAGCATCATTGGAGCTGGTTCTTTTCCCTTACGGTAATGATGGATTACAGTTTACAAATTACACTTTTTCTCTCTTTCCTGTTATTTCACAAATTCCTGAGGGATTTGTTCAGTAGATGAAATTTTACGGTGCTCACATATGCCTTTGCTTCTTTGAATAATTCAGTACACAGAGCTCACTAGAAAAGTATGACAGGATATTAAATCTACTATGTGTTCTGAGATGTAAACCAGTACAGAAAAAAAGTATTACATTAACATTGTAACAAATAGCAAGCATTTCACATGAATGTGCTCTTCTTTATTTCCTTCATAACCTACCATTTGCTGAATCACAGGGCATGTGATTTTGTTGATAAAGTTAGGTATGATTTTGATGTGAAAGTGATGACAGTACTTTTTAGAAATTCCTTGTTTTGAAAAGTAGAACAATGTCCATTCTCATGATGTATAGAACAAATAATGTGGTGGAATTAGGTAATTTTCAAAGAAAATCTGTTATCCCAAGATTGTTAGCATGCTTCTAAAACACTACTACCGGGAAGATAGTCAAGTCTGGCAGTAAAACTAGTAAATAAGCCTAACTGTGAGGATAAATATCTTGGCTGCCAATACCAAGGAAGCGTATTAGAAAAAATGCATTTAAATTAGATTGCATAACATTGCAGTTAAACATAATAATTACTTTGTAAAAAATATTGTCTAATATAGTATTTAGGACCTCATAACTGGAAGTTCAATGAAAACAGTTGGAACCTGGACATACAACCATTCACTCTATGCTTGACAATATACAGTAATTCAGGTGGGTAGCTGCGTCAGCATGCATAGGCTGCAAAGGAACAAGTAATAGGTTTATTCCATGCTGAAAAAAAGAAGAAAGAGAACAACGTTTCGGCCATGGAGCTCACACTTGAAGAAGGCTCCACGGCCGAAACATTGTGTTCTCTTTTTTCTTTACTTTCTTTACTTGTTCCTTTGCAATATACAGTAATGCTGATGGGCAACTTAGTAGTTCATTTATATACTGTAGTACAAACAGCAGTCAGACTTTGTCTCCCATTTGTGAGATGTGAGTGAAGCTTTCTTCTAAAAGTTGTCATCAGATGCTTACAGTTTAGTGATAGTGACCACTTTTTCTTTGTAAGTGATATTTTTGTTTCTTCATTTGCACAATTTCTAACTAATGCCACAGATTTAATTTAATGTGCAAGAAATTGTCTTGTTTAATTATTTAAGCAAACATCTCTAAGAACCTCATACAATTCTCACAAAGAAAGCTTCAGGTCTTTTTAATTTCTGAACACACATTTAGTGATCCATTTACAGTATTACAGAAAATTATAGACCCAGCAATTAATGATTTGTGCTCATGTTTGCAAAGTGAAATCTAGTACAAAAATATTTAATAAATGCAGTGTAACATTGCTTTACATGTGAAGCTCAGCTTAATAATGAAAAATGTAGGTCACATAAATTAAATGAACATTTCCTTTGACAGGCTTAAACCAGTTCAGGAACGAAAAGCAGTATAATTTATCCTGGCAGACTGAAATACAATTAACCTTTTCAAAAACCTCACAAAAGAGCTGAAGATTTCCTGCAACGTTTCAAATTGTTGGTATAATGACAAATTGACCCATTGTACACACATATGATTATTTATGCACACTGTATACACAGTAAAATAGAAATTAAACAATGCAACAGTAAGCAATTTGACACAATTGTAATAAACTTCATCTTAAATATTGTATGTTAACCTAGCTAGTGTCAAGGAACCTATATGTGGAATAGGAGGATCCTTATGCGTGACTGGAATCCCACAGCACACAGAGTAGCAAAGGGACGATCCAAAAGATGAAATCCAATGGCTGGGTTGATAAGGGAGGCAGAGGCTCCGGTAACGAGAGATATCCAAAAACAATCCAAAAGTCAAAATCCAGAAGGCGAGGTCAAGAGGCAGAAGCAGAAGATTCGTAACAGGAGATCAGCTGAAAGGCTTGGAAACGCGCACTGGAGAATACCACGAAAGGCTCCTCAATAGTGAGCGTGGGAAGGTGTGCGAAGGGGGTTTAAATACTGAAATCGGTAAACCATCTTAATTTAGTCATAGAAATGTGCAACTTGTTGCATAACTGAAGTCAAAATGTATCCATTCTTGTAACTCAAACTCTCCTCTTGACTGAGAAGCATACTTCAGTTCAAAAGTCAGTTGTAAAGTTGTAAGAAAACCTGTTCTACTCTGTAAACTCTGTTCATTTTGGCATTTAACGTACAAGTACTGTACATGGATAACTGGAGTTAACATTTATTGGTTCTTGTAACTCAAACCCTACACTGGCCTGCAAAGCACACTTATTTTAATATAATTTTTTAAGCACGTTTCAGCTGATTGAAAACTTGTCAAAAGAACTGAAGACAATGAGTTTCCAAGAGCTTTGATTGCTTTAGACTATTTTTTTTTTTAATTTGGAGGCACATTTTCAAATGTGATGACTGGAGGGCTTCAGAGACAGATTTCAGGATTGCTTTATTGGAACCCCAGATAGGATTAGTGTTAGCATTCCCACACTGCAT